CTTTGGCAACCTGAAGTCAACGTACACAACAGAGGAGCAACTTCAGTGCTCATGCGGTTTAGATGACCAAAGACCCCACGGAAAGGCTCTTACTGGGGATGAGGATGCACCAAGCCATAATTAATGGCCGTGGAAGTGGAAAGACAACCACGTGGTGGAGAGAGTAGAAAAGTGTCCCAACAAGATAAGGGCAATTGATGGTTTTTTTTTTTTTTCTGTTTGGGTCACACCCAGCGATGCACAGTGGTTATTCCTGGCTCATGTACTCAGGAATTACTCCTGGTGGTGCTCAGGGGACCATAGGGATGCTGGGAATCAAACCCACTATGCTACTAGAACCCACTATTGCTCCAGCCACGCAATTGATGTCTTTTTTTTCTTAATTTTTATTTGCTGGAGCGGGCCCAGTAACATCTCCATTGTGAGACTTGGTGTTACTGTGTTTGGCATATCGAATACATCAGGGTAGTTTGCCAGGCTCTGCCGTGTGGGCAAGATACTCTCAGTAGCTTGCCGGACTCTCTGAGAGGGGCGGAGGAATCGAACTGGGGTTGGTCTAGTTGGCCGCTTGCAAGGCAAACGCCCCACCCGCTGTGCTATCCTGCTGTTCACAAGGTAACTACTGAAAAGGATGAAAATACCAAGGCTTTGTAAGAACTATGGCCCAGGATACAAACACGGTTTAGATAAACTCAAGTCTGTCCTAGAGCCTGTGTGAACAATAGTTGCGGAGTGAAGAGAAATTGGTTCACTTCTGCATCTGCTCAGCATTTAAGCATGTAGAACCCCAAAGCCTTACAGTGCCCCAGAGGGAGTAAGTTTTGAGCCTCACGGTACAGTAAAACAACCTGAAATATCTCAATCCCTCACACCCCATATGGTCCCGAGTCCACCGGGAGTAATCCTCGAGTGCAGAGTCAGGAGTCAGCCCTGAGCACTAGTGGGTGTGACCCCCAAACAAAAATAAGTCAGGGGGAAGGTAAAGGAGAAAAAGGGAGCAAATTTCCCAAGCAGTGACTCCACTGAACAACCCAGTTTCTACTTCTCCCAAATACGGACTCAAAGAGGCTTAAACCAACCGCAAAGAAAAAACCCGAAGAATCGGGAGCCACCATTCCACTAAAGGATCCTTCTGAGGCCTGAGAAAGTGTCACGGTAACAGCAGCCCCAGGAGAAAGATCTTAAAAAGAAAACACCGCAGGGCAAGCTACCCTATACCAGTGGTCAGGGCAGGGGGACCATATGGGATGCTGGGAATTGAACCTGGGTCGGCCGCATGCAAGGCAAACGCCCTCCCCACTGTGCCATCGCTCCAGCCCAAGGCTTGTGTTTTAAAAAGCAGCTCTGTGCTAGAAACGGGGTGCCGAACAAGCCGACCCACAGTATCTCAGGTGTCCTCAGTTTACATGCATGAAACTGCTCGATGTGAGCTGTACCCGAAAATACTTGGCCACGCTAGACTTAGGTCGAGTTTGCACTGTGCCGAAGGGGAGGCCTAAGCGCTGAGTAAGGTGGTTTTGCACTCTGGGTAAGGCGTCTGAGCAGAGACCGCAGGAGGGGACTCAGAGGAGATCTCCGCGAGGCCCAGAGGGGACAGCTGACTTGCCCAAGTCCTTCTTTGTAACTGGCTGACTGAGTTGAAAGAGCCAGACTCAAGCTCAGGCCTACTATTTCCTGTTGACAAAAACCACTAAAGAACACAAGCAATTTGCTTTCCTGGCTGCACTGCATGATTTAAAAAAAAAAAAACACCCAACTGCATGTCTGCAATAGAGGCACAATTTCACTCCCCACGGCCTCACGGTGCCTCAGGGAAAGATGCCGGGTACCAGTGTAGGCTGCGCTGCACTCCTTGCCGATGCGCCCTGTGGATGTGCAGCAGCGTTGAGGGGAAGCAGTGTCTGATTGTAGCATTCCTCACCTGTTGGCGTTAGGGACCCAGAGCCGCCTGGGAGCACAGCCTGAATTTTTATTTATTTTTTAAAGGTAAAGGTAAGGTAAAGGGCTGGAGCGATAGCACAGCGGGTAGGGTGTTCGCCTTACAAGCGGCCAACATGGCCGACCCTAGTTCGATTCCTCCGCCCCTCTCGGAGAGCCCGGCAAGCTACCGAGAGTATTCGATATGCCAGACACAGTTATTTTTTAAAATCAAAAAAATTTTTTTTTCCTTTTGCATCACACTCGGTGATGCACAGTGGTTACTCCTGGCTGATGTACTCAGGAGTTACTCCTGGTGGTGCTCAGGGGACCATGGGATGCTGGGAATTGAACCCAGGTTGGCCCCATGCAAGCCCTAGCCACTGTGCTATCGCTCCAGCCCTGCTCCAGATGGTCTTATAGGAACCATCTGGAAGTGTGAAACAGTCGACTGCAGACCGAGACGCTGTACCCTGTGGTAGAGTGTGGAAAGGAGGGGTCCTGCTCCAGACGACCGTCCTCCCTCAAACTGCAGAGCCAAGCGTCAAGTCGACCGAAAGTATAACTGTGGCTCTAGCAGATGATATGTGAAAATACGTGTGGTTTTGCACATTAACTGGTGAGCAAACAAAGAGTACAGAGTCCCGGCATGTGGAACACGACATTCCTCAAAACCTGTCTCCAGCACAGGGTCAGGGAACATGCAGTTGGCGACTGATGCAGACAAGGTCTCCAATACGAAATGGAGAAGCAGCCCCCGCTGCCTGACTGTGCTGGACAGACACACTCACACGCTTCCCAAAGGCCATCTGAAATACAACGGAATACATCCGTTGCCACGCACAAAGGCCGGTTGTGAGCAGAAACGGCTCAGCTCTGACGTGTGACCGCAGAGACGTGATGGTGGAGCCCTGGCTGGTGTTCTGGGGGCCAGTCCCCGCACGAGCACCCCTAGTCTCACACCAACCACGTTCAAAGGCGAACCACGAAAGTGGAGGCAAGAAGTGTGTCCTCTTCACAAAGTGCTCTCTGACCACAAAGAAAGCCTGTTCAGGAGTCCAGGCTCAGGAGACTGTCTCTTACCCTGCTGACCCTGACCACCAAAGGAGCTCGCTGCAGACCAGCCACTGGTTACCAAACAATTATCAAAAGCTGCGAGACTAATCCTGATGCCTGCCTTCAGGAACCCGCCTCCTGCTCAGTAGGGAATGACAGTTCTCGGGCAAAGAGAACAGGTAGGCGAAGATACGACGCCTGCCACGCGACATCGGACCAGAGTCTATGGCTGGCAAAACCAGGCAATCATGAGGTTCTTTCTACTCACTCAATGGACAGACCACAAGAAAAGCAAAAGGCTCCTGTGAAGGAGAGCTACGACACGGGAGGAATGAACGAAGACCAGAAAAGCCCACGGCCTCCATAACGCTGGGCCTCACACCTTCATCCCAGGAATGCCACTCGAGGTACAGCGGGCACAGCGGCAAACGGAGCACAGACTCTGCCTCCGCAGGGCTTCACTCCCCACATGCATTCCTGCTTTGCTTTGGGGGTTCTTTTCCTGTTCGTTTCCCCCCCCCACCCCCCACTTAGTGATTTCTGGTAAGAATTCAGGCATCGGGGCTGGAGAGAGCTTAACGGGCCAAGTGTTCGCTCTGCATGCAGGAAGCCTGGGTTTGCCCCCTCGTGTTGTCTGGTCCCTGAGAACCACCAGGGGTGTGCCCTGAGCAAGCACTGAATTGGGGGTAACTCCTAAGCACCACTGGGTTTGACCAAAAAACAAACAGGCAAAAAAAAAAAAAAAAAACAAAATAATCAACCCTAAAGCACATCTTCCAAAAAGAGCTGCAGTCAGGCTTCCACAGCCAACTGGGAACTGACCTTATACAGAGAGGTATCAGAGGTATCACAAAATGGGTAAACGGCAGAGTGAAAGTTGGTACAGTGTAAGGATCTATCTAGTCAGCAAAGTCACTGAGGGGCTGGTGGGGGGTGAAGGCAACTTATTCATTTATTTTGCTCTTTGGGTCACACCCAGTGATGCTCAGGGGTTACTCCTGGCTCTGCACTCAGGAATTACTCCTAGCAGTGCTGGGGGGACCCTATGGGATGCCGAGGATTGAACCCGGGTCAGCCGCTTACAAGGCAAATGCCCTACCCGCTGTAAAATTATTGATGCTGCATACGAGACATGATCATTTCTCTAGGGACGCGAATCAGTGACAGTGAGAGGAGAAGAAAGGGTGTGTGTTCTGTCACAGGACCCAGGGTGATGAGAATCTAGGACTCTGTAGCTCACGATTACTTCGATTTCAGAGCAACGAGTCTCTGGGAGATAAAGGAGAGCAGATCAATGAGCAGATGACCTCTGTTCAGAAGTCAGAAATGATCTGGTTCCTGGGCAACATTTCACCGACAGGGACTTTCTTTCTTTCCTTTTTTTTTACTGAATCACCGCGAGAATAGTCAGAAAGCCTTTCAGTTCAAGTCTCGGTCGGTCATACAATGATCAAACACCCGTCCCTTCACCAGTGCGCATTTTCCACCACCAAGAACCCCAGTATACCCCCCCCACCCTGTCTGTGTGGCAGATTTCCACTTTGCTCTCTCTGTCTACGCTGATCACATTCAATATTACAACAAAAGACCCAACACTGTTATTTGGAATTTTCCCCAACATTCAGACCTGCCACAAAGACATCATTAGAAAATTTGTTTTCCATTGCTGATTACGAAGAGCATATGATGTTGTGTGGCCTCAAAAGTGGCCACGTGAATTTGGATTTCTGATATTTTACTAATAAGCTAGGGGGATTACTGCCAAAAGCCCCTGGGTTCTGAGGTTAGTTTGTGTGCCACTGGGATCAGGGTCATGCAGAAGCCGAAGGAGGCGTTTGCGACAGGGACTTTCGGACCAAAGCACCAAGCCCTGCGCATCTGCAGCCGCACTGGAGGAGTGTGACGCTAGTGCTGCTTGTCTCCAGACCCGAGTGGGCCCGTGGGGCTGGGAAAGGGCAGGGACTCCAAACGGGCAGGCGCATGCTCGGGGGAGGAGCGAGCACATGCACAGGGAGGTCCGGACTTACTTTTTCGTGAGCCGAGGGTCCAGTGGAGGGTGCTGTGCTCCATACACCGGCTGGATGCTAAAAGCAAGACAAAAGGCAGAAAACTGAATGTGATGGTGAGTATCACCGCGGAACAAAAACTCAGGGTCTCTGAGACACAGGTCGCCTCCGAGAACGCACCACATCCGAGCCGCGGGGCAGCAGCCTACTTGTGGAAAAGCATCTTCGGGAATGTTCTGGTGGAGGGTCTGTGCCTTGCCCGAGAAGGCTGGGGAGTCAGAGCTGCAGAGAAGCAGCATGACCAGATAACAGGCTTTAGATTCAGACACGTCACTTTTTTGCTTGTTTGGGGTCCCCACCCACGGATGCTCTCTGTGCTCAGGGATCACTCCTGGAAGCACCCGAGGGTGGTATCAGGGATGGAACCTGGGTCAGCTGTGTGCCAGGCAAGTGGCTGACCACTGTCCAAGCTCTCCAACCCCAGAGACCACATTCAAATGCCAATGCTGGCATTCAGTATCAGTATTGTGGCCAAAGTATACTGGCACTGAGTAATGTGACCTCTTGGGACCTGTTTGCTCATGTGTAAAACAAGAAATTGTAAAATGGAAATATTCACTAATCCATTTCTTAATGATAAGAAAGCATACATTTAAGTAAAAAGGACTTGGTTATCTCTGGAGAAGAGGAGGACGGGAGTGACAGGGAACTGATGTAAAGGGATTTCCAGGGAGTTCACTTCCTGGTGTCACTAATGAGTCATCGCTACCATCGCACGTGGTTGTTTTTGCATGATTTTCCGTGTAATATTTCACACTGAGAAGGAATGACCTGCCAGAGAACTAGTACCGAAGGTAAGGCGCTTGACCTGAACGCGGCTGACCCTAGTTTGCTTCATGGTCCCCAGAGCACTGCCCAGGGTTACAAAGAGCCAGTAGCAACCCCTGAGCACAGCCTCACACTGATCTCCTCAGAACAAAATTAAAGGACCTGAGAACAATTACATACCAAACCAAACTGCTGTTTAAATACAGAGATGATAGATTCACATGCTTTAACACATGAGAACTCAAGGCATATGGCTTCAATAGCTCTGGAAGAAACCGACACAGAAATATTTTTAATTGACAACGAGGTAAATGGAGAAACAAACAAACAAAACACAACAAAAGGACTGGCAGAGGCACGACGAGACAGGACAGCAAGTAGGGAGCTTGCCTTGCACGTGGCCAACCAGGGTTCGATCCCCAGCACCCCATATGGTCCTGAGCCCGGCCAAAAGTGATTTCTGAGTGCAGAGCCGGAGTAAGTCCTAAGTACATCTGGGTGTGTCCCCAAACAAAACCGAAACCAAAAGAGAACTGGCAGAGGACATGTAAATGCTTTAGCCACACAACTGAGTCTTGACGTGGAAGCCACGCGATTACAGAAGAGAATTAAACGGCACGGCGGCCGCCACCTTTCAGAGCCTGTTGGACTGAGAGGTACGCGCCTGCAGAGACGAGACACGAGGGGCCGCAAGGGATGGGGGCTGGAACCAGCTCTTCTCCCAGCCCAGACGAGACCCCGAGCTGCCGCCCATGGACGGCTCCTCCGCTCCTGAATGGCCATGATCCCAGAGGCACACAGACTAATCTCGGAACCCAGTGGATTTTGGCAGAAATCCCTCCAGACTTAATTACTAAGATATCAGAAATCCAAATTGTGTGGATGCAATAGCGGCCGCACATCTTATCCTCTTCATCATCAGCAACAGAAAACAAATTATTTCATGACGCCTTCTTGGCAGGTCCGAATGTTGGGGGAAAATTCCAAATAATCATGGTGGGTCTTCTGTCAAAAAACTGAATGTAATCAAAGTAGAGAGTGAGTAAAGTGGAAATCATCTGCCACACTGGCAGGGGGAGGAGTGCAATGGGGTTATACTGGGATTCTTGGTGGTGGAAAATGTGCACTGGTGAAGGGACGGGCGTTTGATCATTGTATGACTGAGACTTAAACCTGAAAGCTCTGTTACTGTTCTAGCTCTGTTACTGTTCTCATGGTGATTCAATTAAAAAAAATAAATAAAATATTAAAAAAAATTAAAAAATAGTAAAATTGACAAATGTTGGGCTGGAGCGATAGCATAGCGGTAGGGTCTTTGCCTTGGGCGCAGCAGACCCGATCGACCCGAGTTCGATTCCTCCGCCCCTCTCGGAGAGCCCGGCAAGCTACCGAGAGGATCTTGCCCGCACGGCAGAGCCTGGCAAGCTCCCCGTGGCTATTCGAGATGCCAAACAATGTTACAATGTGACAGCAGGAGTCTCACAATGTTACTGGGCCTGCTCAGCAAATCGATGAACAACGGAAGGACAGTGACAGTGACACTGACAAATGTTAAAATGAAATTCAGGAAAAGAAAGTAATAACATACACTGATTTCCTCATCTTTGTCAGCGCTCAAAAGAGTCAGAAAGCTAATAGTTCCAGAAACAGAAGCATATGTATACTTAAGAGAAATTTTAAAAATAAGTAAAAGGTGGAAAAGGGCAACTAATACATTAATTTCATCACAGCTCATGGGAAAGATTCATTAAGGGAGGGAACACGGCATCAAGTCACTGTCCCTGTCCTCCCGTTGTTCATCAATTTGCTCAAGCGGGCCCAGTAACGTCTCCATTGTGATGATTGTTACTGTGTTTGGCATCTCGAGTACGTCACGGGGAGCTTGCCAGGCTTTGCTGTGCGGGCAAGATACTCTCGGTAGCTTGCCGGGCTCTCCGAGAGGGGCAGAGGAATCGAACTCGGGTCGGCCATGTTGGCCGCTTGCAAGGCAATCGCCTCACCCACTGTGCTATTGCTACAGCCCAAGGCATCAAGTCAGATTTTAAAATGTACCCACTAGGGGCTGGGAGGTAACTCAGGTACCCGTGGTCTGAATAACCCTGGGTCCAATCCCAGCACCCCATGCCTGCACCCCACACCCCAACACCATGACCTGAAGACCCCTGGATCCAGGTTCCCCCAGCCACCCCCCAGGAGGCCTCCCCACAAAAACTTCATGACAAAAAGGGGGGAAAAGCCTTCCAAGTTAGCAGAGCACACACACTCCCAAAACAAACAATTTCATTCTGCTTTTTCATTTCACCATTCCACTGCATTGCGTTTTAGCTTGCTGCCACAGTGGATGATGCCTGCGGGTCTATGTGATACCAGGAGTCAAACTGGGGCACCCAGCAGCTCGCCAGAGGTTTCACCGGGCACCTCAGACGGAGCGGGTGTCCCCTCTCCGCCCACTCCAGACGAACCCCCGGTGGCCACAAACTTCCAGAAGAAAATCCCAGGTAAGCGGGAGCAGGGACTGAGACTCCTCGGCCCCGGGGCCATGTTTAAGTGCATCACTGGCCTTGATCCAGACACTCCCAAATGAATCTCGGAATGGATCAGCTCCCTTCAGAGATGTCTCCAGACCCCAACCATTTACAATAATTTTAGAATTCCAGGAGCTCTCATGATATTCATAATCTGTCACTGTCACTGTCCTCCCATTGTTCATCGATTTGCTCGAGCGGGCCCAGTAACGTCTCCATTGTGACAACTGTTACTGTGTTTTTGTCATATCCTATACGTCACGGGTAGCTTGCCAGGCTTTGCCGTGCGGGCGAGATACTACGGCCATACCACCCTGAACACACCTGATCTCATCTGATATTCATAATAAGCAACAGAAAATTATCTAGCATCTGCCTGGGGTAGGCAGGCTTGAATGGTGGTGGGAGAATTCGAAATAATGGTGGTGGGAAAGTGTAATGGTGGTGGGATTGGTGTTGAAATATTGAATGTAATCAATTAATGTGACCTACCTTATGAAAATAAAAGTTAAAAATTAAAAAAAAAAACACCTGGGACCCCGCACCATGTGCTTCAGCCCTTTGAGGATCAGCATGCCACCTGCTTAAAAAAATTCTATTTTTGTTTCAGGACGCAGAATCTCCTGCCCCCGCGCCAGGCTGTCTTCACCGGGGCCCCTCGGAGGGGGGTGGGTTGAGTCTCCCTCCACGCCCCAAGCAGAGCCCCGGCAGCCAGAAACCTCCAGAACCCAGCCACAGCCATGCTCAAGGCCACTCTCCACACGCTTGGAAGAGCCTCACGCATGAAGGAACCAGCAGAGGAACCCAGGTACGCGGGACCCGGGGCTGAGATCTCCAAGCCTGCTCAGATCGGGACCGGGCCTCCTCCACCCACGTCCCCCATTTTCCAGTAGCCTGGCAGTCACCCCTGGCGCCATGTAAACCCACCAACGGCCGATATCCAGAGACTGTATAAAGCAAAGTTCCCAGAAGAGAGCGACCTCTTACAGTCTCGCCCACCTAAAGCAGCACTCATGTGTTCGGTTTAAACATACTTGTTTATGTTCTCTTACATACATTCTCTATCCCTCTCGGAGAGCCCAGCAAGCTATCAAGAGTATCCTGCCGGCACAGCAGAGCCTGGCAAGCTCCCCGGGGTGTATTCGATATGCCAAAAACAGTAACAGTAACAGTAACATTCCCCTGACCCTGAAATAGCCTCCAAAACGGCACCGTTGGGAAGGACGAGTAAGGAGAGGCTGCTAAAATCTCAAGGCTGGGACAAATGGAGATGTTACTGGTGCCCGCTCGAACAAATCCATGAACAACTGAATGACAGTGACACAGTGATACAGTGTTTCAAGGTCACACCCAGTGGCATTCGGGGCTTACTCCTGGCTCTGTATTTGAGGGTGATTCCTGGAGGTATTTGGGGAGCCAGATGTAGTGCTGGGGAGAGAATCAGGGTCAGATGCAATTAAGGCAAGTGCCTTAACCCCTGTACTATCTCTCCAGCCCCTGTGTGAAAGGATTTTAAAGGAAAATATTAAAAATTGAAGGCCAAGGTTGGAGAAGTTGGTCAGCAGATGGGGCGACTGCCTAGCACACCGCCAACATGGGTTCGATCCCCGGCATCCCATATGGTCCCCAAACACTGCCAGAAGTAATTGCTGAGTGCAGAACAAGGAGTAGCCCTTGAACATCGCCGGGTGTGACCAAAAAACCAAAAACTAAATTGGAGGCCAG